TTAATGATCATGATCATGAATGACGATCATCTTTAACAATCCAAAACAGTGTGTCAACACTACTAGACGACGGCGTTCCACGTGAAGGGTAAGAGGGGCCATCTCGAGCGGCGCGCGCACCGCACAAATGGCTTGCTTTTTCTGGAAGCCTGCTCGCACATTGGACTAAAATCCCATTCTCGTCCGCGCTCGTCGTCCTCGAAACTGTCATTTTTCGGCTTCTGGGCTCGCGACGAAGCTGTCGTGACTGTTGGACTTCTGGGCTCAGACGCTCTCTCACTGTTTGGGGCCTGCGCTGGCATAATCTATGAGAAAAGCACTTGAACATTGCAAGAGCCATGTGAATGCTAAGAAGAAAAAGGAATCATGAGATATCACAAGAACAAGAAGAGCAATGAGAAAGTTTGGGGTTTCGGGCACTCACGTAAAGCCCAGGTCGCGGGCCCTTGCGACAGCAAGGAAAGTGCGCTGAAGCTCCATCGCTGAGTCAGACCACACGGCAAAACGCGTAGACTGATGCTTCTCAGCAAAAAATGGCTTCGGGCAATTTCGGGGTTCAAGGCTTAGTCAACTGTTGCTGGCAAAACGTTTCAAGAAACTGCGCTTTGCCATCATCCGATCCTCATAAATGGACCTCACTCCCACCCCCCACCTACTGGAGGACGTCATGAGAATTTCAGTTTGGGTTTAGGGTTCTCCTTCAACCCCCAAGCCCTGCCAATAGCAGCAATAGCACTGTGGGCGCCTTTTCCAATGGCAATGGAGGCCCTGCGAAAGGGGCGCAAGCTGCACGAGCGCTATGTCACAGACGCCATTGCGCTGCGACGGGCGCAGGGCGTCTTAAAGAAAGCCACAAGAGCGCAGGGCTTTAGAGTCCGTGTCTGAACCTTTTTGCCTTGGAATTCCACAAGGCCTCACACCTGCACAAGCAGCAGCACACCTGAAGCGGCATTTTTTCTAATTGGCCTGCAAGGATTGGCTGCCACATCCAGTGGGTGGTCAGTCAGACATTCCGGGACAGCCCATTTCTTTCCTTCGAGCGAGAGGTGGCCTTTCTTTCCTGTAGGAGGTGATTCACCACTCCTTGAGATCTTGGTTGACTGTGTTTCCGGGTGCTTTGGGAAAGGCTGTTCATCGGGCTGCGAGGCTGGGGCAACTTGGTGCGGGGGCTTCGGCATTCTGTTTTGGCGCCACAAATTTCCACCCCTCCAACATAGCACGCTAGAGTGCTCTCGCAGAACGCCTCAGGCTCCTCTTTTGCTAGCATTTTGAACACTCAAAGGTCTGCGGAGTCACTCAAGATTCATCGGGCTCAACTACAGGGAGGTACTACAAAATGTGGCTTCTACACAAACGGAAAATCCTTAGCACCCCGCCTCACAGGTTCGGAGTATCTGTGTACATAAGGATTTCCGCCCACATTGACTTCAACAAATCAGACAACTTAGTTCAGGCTACCTTTCGACTACGGTCAGCTGTTTCGCTGATCTGCCCTAGCCAGCTCAATGCCTTTGTGACAGTTGCTGCTTTTGAGCAGGAAGTTCAACTACGCTACGGCTGAACTACAGAGTGCATGCTTGTTTGCCCAAGCGGAGGCCACAGGCAACAGAGCCATCACTTAGCCATTGAGGCTCGTAGTAAAAAGATTGCGACGGCCTAGCTGCCATCGCACGAGAGATGAGTCGGCTACTCAAATCAAGGCATTCGGAGTAACACATTCGAAGTGCGGCATAACAGGGATTGGTTCCAACATGGAACATAACAAGTTTCGGCTAGACCGGGCAAAATCAAAAAGCATCATGAGCATTACCAAGCATAGCATAACAAGTTGTTGGGTTCGGATTTTCAATCTGCCAATCTACTGCATGTCATCGCGTCAAGGTCTGCACGCTCGGCAAGGTGTGTAGCCCTTCTCCACTGCTTCTCTGCGGCTGATTTCCGTCACTCCATCTGAATGCTTCAGCTTGGCGCGCGCAATGCGATGGAATGCACGCCTTGTCTCGTGGATACCCAGACATCGGGCACTCGGGCCGGTCTAGCAGCTGCCTTGGGGCGCCTACAGGCTTGCGGCACCTCCTCGATGACTTCGGAACTCTCGGATGCTGCATGTTCGTCACTTCCTCGTGCTTGCTCACCAGTGCTCGCGATGGACGATACTGGCTCAAAAATTCCCCGAAGAACTCAAGAACCGTGAACAACAGCATCAGACATTGGTGGAAAAATCCCGTGTTCTCGTCACCATCGTCATCCTGATCAGGCTGACCAAACGATGGCGTGATCTGAAGAGCCGTGGTCTGCATCTTTGATGCCCATCAGCCCCAAAAGGTATTCCGTCTCGCACACATCCACCTGCGCGCATGCATATCGCACGCGCTGCGGCGTTGTCGGATAGCAGCTGGATAGGTGCAACGGGCCCAAACATGAAGGTTACAGCACGATGCAACAGGACGGCGTCGATGCAGCCACCGACTGCACTGTGGAATTCACTCTCTGCAGATGACAAGGATACCACACGCTGCGTGCGCGATGAGGCATGAAGGAGCTGTGAGTTCAGCAGCACCACACATCCAGATGCGCTTCGGCGTGTGGCACTTAAGGATATGCTCGGCCTTCTGGAACTTATTAAGGCCTACACGGACCGTGGGTGTCGAAATGACCAAACGTCGATGCTCATGCTGGGCCAAGTACGAGGTGTTTTAGCAGCTTTCAAGTACCATATTGTGTCGGCTGCTGCATGAACCCTCTGAGAACCTTATGCTGAACTCGCATGCACCGGCATCGGACTGCAGACTGGTTTTTGCATTCAAACGAGCGCTGCATACATCCTAGTCCTACAAATCCGACGCCAAAAGCGGCTTGCGGAAATGGGAATTGAGCTGCGCTATACAGTTGCAGTTCTGCCTCACTGCAGCATTACAAAGACGAGCACGCAGTTGCTTCGGACAAGCCCCCGCGCGCTCAGCACGACGCTGCCCAAAGTTACTAGAACAAGGGCAGGGGCGCAGCCAACGAGATCCGGTCGCTTGGGCCACAGGCCCACAGGCTCAAATTCGGTGCCAAAAAACGGGGCCGTCTCGCGGCCCCAAAAATGGGGCCGCCAAATGGACCCAGCTCCCGCAGTACAGTTTGGAACTGGATTGCAGGGGTGAAACCGCGACCCCAAAATTGGGGCCGTTTGGCGGCCCCAGATTTGGGGTCGCGAATTCTTCTATTTTTGGGCTCAATCCCGCGCTTTCCAGACTGCTACACTCAGGCGACTCTGGCCCACAGACAGACACTCAACGTGGAAAGATCAATCTCCGCAGGCAGCTTTCTTGTGGAAGCGATCAACATGAAAGAAACGTGCACAGTTGCAGTTCTGCCTCACTGCAGCATTACAAAGACGAGCGCGCAGTTGCTTCGGACAAGCCCCCGCGCGCTCAGCACGACGCTGCCCAAAGTTACTGGAACAAGGGCAGGGGCGCAGCCGACGAGATCCGGTTGCTTGGGCCCACAGGCTCAAATTCGGTGCCAAAAGGGCCGTCTCGCGGTCCCAAAAATGGGGCCGCCAAATGGACCCAGCTCCCGCAGTACAGTTTGGAATTGAGTTGGAGGGGTGAAACCGCGACCCAAAATTGGGGCCGTTTGGCGGCCCTAGTTTTGGGGTCGCGAATTCTTCTATGTTTGGGCTCAATCCCGCGCTTTCCAGACTGCTACACTCAGGCGACTCTGGCCCACAGACAGGCACTCAACGTGGAGAGATCAATTACTGAGAACCACGACCTCCGCAGCTTCCTTGTGGAAGCGATCAACATGAAAGAAACGTGCACAGGGGAGGCCCACACACGCGAAGCCAGAATTGCTTAATTTTTTCGATCCCAGATTTGGATCGCGCAAACTGGCAAAGATGTGTACAGTACAGGAACGACTTGGTCTCCTAGGACTTGTTGTGAAAATCAAGCCAGAAAAAAAATCTCGAAACCAAACGATTGTGCCCTGCGGTCTTGCTTTGTTGCGGCCTGTGGCCTGAAAACCACACGTTTGTGGCCAGTTGTGGCCTGCCGCGGCCTCAAAAACATACGTTTGTGGGTGGCCTTGTTGTGGCCTCACGGCGTATTTTCACCGGCAAAAACGCATTTGTGGCCGGGACCCTATAATACTATTGAAAGGGTCCCCGCACACAAACGTAGGGTAATGAAGCCAGATCCGAGGACCCACCAGAATTTTAGTCCAGTTTTTCCCCCAAGTCGCTTATCTTCTGAACCTGAGACATTGTTTCGAACAAAAATTGGCAGAAATAGAAATCACGGTGGGGCACCGTGGATTTCACCACTCCTCCGCTGCCCGTCACGTGCAAACTTCCCAGAACAAAAATTTTATGTCGAAGCTGTGGTTGATATCCAAAACTGGCGGCAGCGTGACATCTGCTGTGTCAGTCCCGCGCATAGCTAAGTTTTCCTTTTTCTGAATGTGCGACAGGGCGACAGCTTCTGTGTCGCCTAACTAAGGGTGAGACATACGTCATGAGGGCGGATTGCAGGTCACAGGACCTTTGGATGGACCCTGGGTCCCACAAGGGCAGGAGGCTTGAAGAGGGCATAAGCCACGCAGCAGACTCGGCTGAGTCGAAGGGTGGGCGGGTGGGACCAAAATTTTATGCCGAAGCTGACAAGCCAGTCTTCAGTGCTTCACTCTCACTCTCACTCTCACTCTCACTCACTCTCACTCTCACTCTCGCTCTCGCTCTCGCTCTCGCTCTCGCTCTCGCTCTCGCTCGCACTCTCATCACACTCCTCACACACTCACAGACTGTCACAGACACTCTGTCTCTCTCTCACACGCAAGCACTTGCTGCTCCAAAACATACATCTGCTTGGCTTTGGCAAAGACCAGGGTCGATGGCTAAACTCAAAATGCTGTAAATGACAGGTCTGACCCATCAACGATGGCCCTCCTGGTTGAAGCAAGCCCAGGGTATGCAAGGCTGTTCAAGCAAAAGCAGAGAGTCTCGTTGCTGGAAAATGAAGAGAAAGAAAGGCGAAGAAAGCGAGATCGAAGTGATACGAGAAGATGTAGAGAAAAAGGCTGTCAAAACGAAGCCAATGCCGAAGAAGCCACCTGCGTTCCTGAAGAGGCCAGCGGATGACGAACCAGATGCAAAGAGGCAAAAGATGGAAGAAAAGATGCAACGAAGGGGGTCAACCCAAAATGGCTCAAGCGTGAAGATGAGGCGAAAAGTTCCAAGCGCCCGCCAGGATGTTTCTTTTGTGGAGGAGAAGACCACAAGGCGATGTACTGTCCCAAGATGGGAGACCAGGCAACGGCTTTGGGAGCGAAGATCCCGTCAATGGAAGAAAGGAAGAAGAAGCAAGCGGGATTGTTTTGCAAGTACTGTTTCCTGCTGCACCAGGGAAACCCCAAGCCGGATCTTGCTGGTTGGGGATCGCGCACCCACCAGAAATGCTGGTATGGAAGGCAGGGATCGCAGGCAGAGGAGAAGTTCCTCGAGGAGAAGGAAGCAAAGGAAAAGGAGGCAGGAGAAAAGGAAAAGGAAGAAGAGATTGCAAGCATGATTGCAAGCATGGTGAAAGAGTCGCCACGACCTCCAAACCCCAAGTGGGGTGAGGAATCCATGAAGCGCAAGGCGGATGCGGCTGAGCTTGAGAAGCCAAAGGACAAGAAGGAAAAGAAGGAAAAGAAGGAAAAGAAGGAAAAGAAGGAAAAGAAGGAAAAGAAGGAAAAGAAGGAAAAGAAGGAAAAGAAGGAAAAGAAGGAAAAGAAGGAAAAGAAGGAAAAGAAGGAAAAGAAGGAAAAGAAGGAGAAGAAAGAAAAGAAGATCAAGAAGGACCCCGCCGCAAAAACTGAGATTGGAAGAAATGCGCCACAATATGTCAAGCATGCGCAGCCCCACAACTTGACCATTGTCAGAACCAATCAAGGAGGGGTTGAACATGGGTTGAACCCGGGTTGAATCCAATTTGCACGTGTGCTTTTGCTGCCGGCGCAGCAGCAATATCAAAGCTACAGGCAACGACCAGATCAAAGAAACCTTGGCTTTAAAGGTTTTGGGTTTTTTTCGGATTAAGTGGTTCTTGCAGCACCCTTTTTGGTTCAAAAGAATGCTTTTCTTCAAGCGGTGCAAAACTTCAAAGTTTTTTGATTATTAAGGTTTTGAGACATTCTTTTTTTGGTTTAATGCTGACCAATAAAGCTGCCCTTGGCCGCTGGAGTGCAGGCCTCGTTTAAAATTTATGAAAATTTGAAATAAATGAAATTCAAACAAAATAAATTGAAATAAATACATCAAAATAAATGCAAATTTATTAAAAACAAATTGAAATAAATTTAAAAATGACAAATGCAAAGAAAGTAAGGAACGGTGTGGCGCTTGGTCTGCAATTTCCGCCAGTTTCCTGCGAAATATCAACTCCAACGCCTTGGACTGCACAAGTTCCGGCAACCATTGCGGACACGAAGCTTCAAATTCCGCCCTCAGGATGAAGAAGGCTGTGTTTGGGCACAGTCAAAACCTCCCCAGTTGCAGCTGCACTTTGTCTGCCCAGACTTGCCAACCACAGACACAAGCTGCAACCTGCACATTTTTTTCACAATCCAAGAAGGACAGAGCTTCAGCTGCAAGAAGGCACTTAGGAGCTTTCGACGCTAAAAGAGAGGCGCGCTTGATCACGTCGCCGTCCTCGGGGTTTCCCAGCTTGCGGAGCGGCCGCGATGACGTTCCGGTGCGCCTGCACCTCGCCCAGTCCGTCGTTCTGGCGCCTCGGCAGCTCAAGGAGGCGGTGCGCTGCCTGGTCTGGTAAGTAAAGAAATGTGCCCAGGGCTGTACGAGTGCTACCGCGCCCTATGGAAAAGCGATGGGACGCATCAAGGTCTTCCCGACCCCCGACTACCAAGTCAAGCAGCCCAGAGACCCGATCGTTCCCCGCGTGCCTGCACAGGCATGCTGCTGGGCCCCTCGAAATCGGGCAAGAAGGTGGCTCTCATAAGCATGCTGCTCGACCAGTTCCGCGCGGCCAGCGGTGAGTCCGTGTGGGAACGGCTGTACATCTTCAGCCCTTCGGTGTACATCGACGACGCCGAAGCCCGTGATCAAATTCATCGAGGAGGACATGGGCGTGAACATGGAGCGCGAGAAGGTGCTCTTCGACACGTGGGACGAAGGAGCCATCAGGGGCATCATCGAGCAGCAACGCAAGATCACGAAGAAAAGCAAGGAACTCGGGTTGAAACGGCTGTACGGCGTGTGCATCGTGGTGGACGACTTCTCGGATCAGCCCGAGCTCCACAAGAAAAACGGCGAGGGAACGCTGGACACGTTGCTGTGCCGCAGTCGACACCTGCAGATCAGCACGATCCTCAGCTGTCAGAAACTCCGCGTCGTCTCTAACTGCTGCCGCGTGAACCTCCAATTCCTTTGCGTGTGGCGGCTGCGGAACGCCCTCGAGATCCAGGCGGTCATGGAGGAGCTGAGCGCGCTCCTCCCCAAGGATGAGCTCCTGGCCCTCTACCACGAGGCGACCCGCAAGCCCTACAGCTTTCTCTTCGTGTACTTCCTGAAGCCCAAAAGCGAGATGTTTCATAAGCGGTTCGAGGAAAGGTTTGTGATCGAGGATGGGCCAGATCCTGTCCCAGATGGCAGCCAAGTTGCTGGGCGGGGGTCCGATCTGCGAGAGCGAATGCAATAACCTCAGGTGCTGTACGACCACCCAGGGCGTCTACGACCCGAGCCGCCACTGGCCGCCGCCGGAGCGGCCCGGCAGGTCTCGGACGAGTCGGCCACCAGCGATTTCTTGGCGCGGCGCACGGGGATTTTTAGGCGCCGTTACAGAAAGCCAAATGACATCCATCTGCGTGGACTCACGCCTCCGCGGACTCCGACTTCTCCTTTGACATTGGTGAGAGCGTGCACACCAAGCTCGCCGTCTACAAGGTGCGCATCGCCGACGCCTTTCTGAGCACGGACCGCAGGACGTTTTTGCACTGGAAGGACGAGGTTTCCGGCACCCTGCACTACGCCGAGGGACCTGATCCTCAACGACGCCGAGCTCCGGCAGCGCTTCCCGGGCACGGGCTCCTACCCGCCGGGCGTCTCGCCCAGCAAGCCCTCACGGGCTCCGTGCAGCTGCCGCGCCATCGCCGCGCCACCGCACCGCTCTCGGCCAGAGTTCCCCATCTTCCCCGCATGCACCGTGCCGCACCGCCGCCGCACCGCTCTCGGCATCACTTAGGGTCGAGGGCCTTCAAAAAACATCGGCCTACAAGCACTCTGTGAGCATGGCACTGGGCCAAAATCCTGTTGAAGACCTCGAAACAACCTGCCCACAGTCAAGCTCATGCAAAACCGCGCCTATGCAACAAGCGCGCCCATGCCCTTACACAAAAACGCAACCAGGCCACAAAGGAGTCTCCGCCGAAACACAACCTGTCATTTTTGTCATATTCGTCATTCTTGTCATACGCACACCCTGTGCACACGAGCGCTTCACACACAAATTGCCTTGTCATTTTTGTCATTTCCGTCATTTTTGTCATGCCTGCGCGGCGAGTGCGAGGGAGCGGCGCAGAAGGCGGTGGAGGGGGACGCGTCGAAGGATCGCCTAGTGTTCCTTGTCAACACCTTCGCTCATCACCTCTGCAACGCCGTTGCACTACTTACACACTACGCAATTGCTGGTACACCTCCTCGAGTGCTTCCTGCGCTTTCTAGCACTTCAGAATGCAACCGAAGGTGGTACTACCGGAGGCTCTCCAGGCATTTCCAGTCGCCGCAAAAAAGCGCCTGGCCTGAACTGTTTATGGGTGAACTAAAATCCAAAGCCTAAACCCTAAACCCTACGAAAAACTGTCCTAAGCCCTGAGCCCAAGAATAAAACCTTAACTCTAAAAATCTGTATGTACTGTTAGAGAAAGTTCCGGCGCCAAACAAGTTCACACTTTGCCGCGCCTTGCTGCCTGCTGTTCTAATTTTGGGGGAAGACTGACACAAGACTTAGACTGGAACCGACTGAGAGGCTTATTTGTTTTACTTGCAACGAGAAGCTGTGAAAGCCAGATCTGGCTTCCCGTGTGTGAAAAAAACGCCGCAACTGGGCCCAAAAATGGCTCCTAAACTTGGGTTCCAATTTGAGGCCCCAACCTGGGTGGCCTTGTATGTTCACACAGGAAATCCAAAATCGAGGGCCCGTTTTCGGTGCCCAGAATTGAGCTGCTTTTGGAACCCATTTGAGTTCAATAATAATTGAAATCAACTCACAGAGGAACAAGATTTTTTCTATTCGACACTGTTTGCATCAACACTCAAGAAAACAAAAAACGCCGTCGATACGCGTGTTCTTGGCTTTGCTAAACTTGTCTTTAGCTGGCATTCAAGACAAAGCACTCTTGCATTGTTCGCGTGCGATCTTTCTCGCACTGTGGAGGTCACTTCGGCTTCCCTACCTTTTGGAGTTGATTTCTTGCCTCTTTTTGTGTCTCCAAATCTACACACCTTTCACCACCCGCACACTTCCACACTTGAACAGCCAGCAGAACCCAGCCGACATGCACAAAACGCCGAAAACCACAACACACCACACCCATTCACAATGGAAAAACAAGGTGAACACACATACACACTTAGAAAAACAGCCGAAACCACAAAATGCACATTCTTATAAATATCTTAAGTTCCGATTGCAATTTTTTCACTGTCTTTTCTGGTCAATCGACAGCTTACCGGGCTGACAGCACTCACCAAAAAACTTGCTGAACGATCTGTTTGTGTTTTAGTTCAGGGCGGTTTCTCGAAACTCTCTTTCTAAAGCTTGCAACTTAACCGAGAGATCATTCCGACAAAAAAGAAAACATTAAGCAAAAGCAAGAGAAAAATTCTGTTCAGACGGGCAAAGGCAATTTGAAATGAAAAAACAAAAAGTGTTGCTGTGCATAAATCTGCTGCTGAATCTGAAGAAAGTTGTCTAAGTTTCACGACTCTGGCTTCTTTCCAGTGTTTTCTTGATTTCTCCAAAGTTCAAAAAAAGAAAAACCAATCTTTTTGCATTTCTTGCTAACATTGGAAAAAAACAATCACACTAACCTCTCCTCATTCATGGCCAGAACGACTTGAGAGTCGCCCAGCCTCAATTTCCATTCCATTCGACATTTTTGACAAAGCTTCGATTGCGTTCTTGTCTTTGATTTTCCAAAATGGCCAAACAGAAATTCAAGGCACACTGAAATTTGACAGAAGATTGAGCAGAAAAACTCTGCGGCTGGGTGCCCTCAATTCTTTGTCTTTCGTTTTTGGTTGCATGTTGAAATTCTTCCCTGGATTTAGCACCATTCAACGAATTTCAAAATTTCTGAAGTCTCGAAAATGTAAAAAAACCCTCAAAATCAACACTTGATCAGTTAAATTTGTTGAATTTACTCTGGTGTTTCGCTTGCTTCGCTCGCACTTATTCACATTCTGGTAATACACTTTGCAATTTTCAAGTGGTTTGGCTTGGGCGTCGCGCGCAACCTTAACGAATCAACCGTGGTTGAACTCGTCTCGTCCTGCAGTTGATTTCTGTCCAAACTGCACTGTCAGAGGCTTTTAAAAACACTTGTTTCAAAGCATTGAACTTTTCCAAGCTGCAGTTTCCACCGATGTGCAGAGTCCTTCTTTTCTCCTCTTCTGCCTTCAGGCCTTACACCAAAACCTGGAGAATCTGAAACCCAAGATGAGGGGCAGCAAAATTGATCGAAAAGGTAGGGAAGCTCCAGTGACCCTCCACAGTTAGAGAAAGTTCCGGCGCCAAACAAGTTCACACTTTGCCGCGTCTTGCTGCCTGCTGTTCTAATTGGGGGAAGACTGACACAAGACTTAGACTGGAACCAACGAGAAGCTGTGAAAGCCAGATCTGGCTTTCCTGTGTGAAAAAAACGCCGCAACTGGGCCCAAAAATGGCTCACACAGGAAATCCAAAATCGAGGGCCCTTTTTCGGTGCCCAGAATTGAGCTGCTTTTGGAACCCATTTGAGTTCAATAATAATTGAAATCAACTCACAGAGGAACAAGATTTTTTCTATTCGACACTGTTTGCATCAACACTCAAGAAAGCAAAAAAAACGCCGTCGATACGCGTGTTCTTGGCTTTGCTAAACTTGTCTTTAGCTGGCATTCAAGACAAAGCACTCTTGCATTGTTCGCGTGCGATCTTTCTCGCACTGTGGAGGTCACTTCGGCTTCCCTACCTTTTGGAGTTGATTTCTTGCCTCTTTTTTGTGTCTCCAAATCTACACATCTTTCACCACCCGCACACTTCCACACTTGAACAGCCAGCAGAATCCAGCCGACATGCACAAAACGCCGAAAACCACAATACACCACACCCATTCACAATGAAAAAACAAGGTAAACACACATACACACTTAGAAAAACAGCCGAAACCACAAAATGCACATTCTTATAAATATCTTAAGTTCCGATTGCAATTTTTTCACTGTCTTTTCTGGTCGATCGACAGCTTACCGGGCTGACAGCACTTACCAAAAAACTCACTGACCGATCTGTTTGTGTTTTAGTTCAGGGCGGTTTCTCGAAATCTCTCTTTCTAAAGCTTGCAACTTAACCAAGAGATCATTCCGACAAAAAAGAAAACATTAAGCAAAAGCAAGAGAAAAATTCTGTTCAGACGGGCAAAGGCAATTTGAAATGAAAAAACAAAAAGTGTTGCTGTGCACAAATCTGCTGCTGAATCTGAAGAAAGTTGTCTAAGTTTTACAACTCTGGCTTCTTTCCAGTGTTTTCTTGATTTCTCCAAAGTTCAAAAAAAAGAAAAACCAATCTTTTTGCAGTTCTTGCTAACATTGAAAAAAACAATTACACTAACCTCTCCTTATTTATGGCCAGAACGACTTGAGAGTCGCCCAGCCTCGATTTCCATTCCATTCGACATTTTTGACAAAGCTTCGATTGCGTTCTCTTGTCTTTGATTTCCAAAATGGCCAAACAGAAATTCAAGGCACACTGAAATTTGACAGAAGATTGAGCAGAAAAACTCTGCGGCTGGGTGCCCTCAATTCTTTGTCTTTCGTTTTTGGTTGCGTGTTAAAATTCTTCCCTGGATTCAGCCTGTGGGAAGTACTTCTGGAAGAACTTGGCATTCCAACATGCTACATGCCGCAACCGTACACGTATTTTCAAACGCATGGCCGCAACATCTGCAAGGGGAAACTGCCTTGAGCTTCGCGGCGCTACTGTTTTAAGTCGCCAGCGCATGGAACCTTGTCCAGATCGCATCTTTGGCGGTTCCGATACCATTCAATGAATGCATTAACACTTAAGAAAACAAAACAAAACGCCGTTGATACGCGTGTTCTTGGCTTTGCTAAACTTGTCTTCAGCAGGCATTCAAGACAAAGCACTCTTGCATTGTTCGCGTGCAATCTTTCTCGCACTGTAGAGGTTGCTTCCCTACCATTTCTTGCCTCTTTTTGTCTCCAAATCTACACATTTTTTGCCACCCGCACACTTTCACACTTGAACAGCCAGCAGAATCCAGCCAACATGCACAAAACGCCGAAAACCACAATACACCACACCACTGTTGCCACAGGGAACAAGCAGCCAACTGAGGGTCTGCGATGGTTGCCTGCGTCCGGCACTCAGACTGGAACCGACTGAGAGGCTCATTTGTTTTACTCGCAAAAAGGTGATTTGGCGTTGGAAGAAGGCAGATTCCATCGCTCCTCCGCGAAAGTGGGAACATTAGAACCGACTACCGGAAGTACGTCGTCTCCCTAGCCCTTGAACCCGGCTACCACGTTGCTGCATCTCCAGAGCAAGCCAGGAACGTTGATGCATTATTGCCCAAATACGACTCTGGAGGAACCAAGGCGGCGGTGCTGCCTCTTCCAGGCTGCGGACACTTCTACGTGAAGTAAAGACACCTACTGCCCTGGCCTGCCTGTGGGATAACTTGGCCTTTAAGAGGGTTGTCTCGTCTGGGCTTGTGGCAGGACAGGCAGGATCTTTACCCGCCTGGATACCACCTGACGGCATTGCCTGGACGAAAGCTGTGTATAGCACAGATTTTTCGCGCTCTTGCAGGCTACCAAAGTCATGTGAGCCCTTACATCTTTCTGCCGACCGTTGCCTGCCAGATTGCAGTTCCCGAAACCCCGGCGAGCTTTCGAGCTTGTGTGTGTGGCCTCTGCTTTGGCTTTCTGCAAGACAAGACTGTGCTTGTGCGCGACATCTATCTAGGTGGGCGCAGCTGCAAGCCAGGGTGAGAGGAATCTTTCGCTTGAGCTGCTTCACTGGCTGACCACTCTGAAAAGTTCTCACTGGCTGACCACCATGGGGCATACGAACGTCTTTCCTCTCCTTTGGGAAGTCTGACCTGTGCCCTTCCTTTGCCAATGCGGGTCCGTGATTTGTCCTTGACGACGAACACCGGAGCCTAACTATCGATGATGACCTTGGTTCGAGCACCAGTTGCTGCATGATGGTGATTTTGAAGATCTGGCAGCGTCGCAATTTGCGACTCCCCGCATGCTCAGTGCTGTATGATTGCACCGGGACTTCAACGACGACTTCGAGTACTAAGTTTCTTAGTAGTTCGGCGCCTTTGCTTGGTTTGTTGCTTCTGTGTTTTGGGTGGTTGCGTGGTGTTCTTGGTGTTTTGCACGCGCTGACTTCACCTGTTACGTCGAGCCCAACAAGACCGGCCTACTGTGCTACTGATGTAGTAAAGGGGCGCCAGTCCAAAAAAAAAAAACTCTTTCGTTTTTGGTTGCGTGTTAAAATTCTTCCCTGGATTTAGCACCATTTAACAAATTTCAAAATTTCTAAAGTCTTCGAAAATGTTGAAAAAAAAACCCTCAAAATCAACACTTGATCAGTTAAATTTGTCAAATTTACTCTGGTGTTTCGCTCGCTTCGCTTGCACTTATTAACATTCTGGTAATACACTTTGCAATTTCAAGTGGTTTGGCTTGGGCGTCGCGCGCAACCTTAACGAATCAACACCACGGTTGAACTCGTCTCGTTCTGCAGTTGATTTCTGTCCAAACGGCACTGTCAGAGGCTTTTAAAACACTTGTTTCAAAGCATTGAACTTTTCCAAGCTGCAGTTTCCACCGATGTTGACTCTGCACCCTTCTTTTCTTCTCTTCTGCCTTCAGGCCTTGCACCAAAACCTGGAAAATCTGAAACCCAAGATGAGGGGCAAACAGAATTCGTTTCTGGATTTGGTTTTGTGTGGTTTGCTAATCTTTGTTGTTCACTCTATAACAAGATTCATTGATTCGATAAAAATTATTTATAAACCATTGTATAATGCATAAGCATAAAAGAAGAGATGAAGGGGTTTCAAATAAAGCACCTAACGCAAGAAGCAGACTACATAATGAAGTTAGAGACGAATTCGCCAAAGCGGTACAGATGTTTATGATGATTGAAAACTTCCTTTATACGCAACAGACTCAGCGTTATAAAGACGTAGGTAAGTTCAGATAAGATGGTTTTTTTGAAATAGACGGTCAAAAAAAAAACCCTGGAATTTCTGGCATTATGCCATGCTTTGAACCGCGCCTTAATGTTGCATGATGATCAGTCGCACCGGTTCAAGCCACTCAACAGCATATGTGCGCAGTCAGCATGCAACGCATCAGCTCTTGATTCGCAGGCTCAGGTCTCCTGACTCTCTGAACACCGTCAACGGATTCAGCCAGCGAGCATCCAAAACAGTCTTTGTTTGCTGCATGACAGTGCTCGAAGCCTCGTTGTTTGGCATTGGATGTCCCCTTTTGAGCGGCCAGAACGGTGGACGCTGACCTCAAGTGGGGTGCTCTTCCAGTGCAACAAAATATCCAAAGTGATCAGCTGCCAGACCAGGTGAAGCAGAAGCTCCAAGTTTCCGTCGGGCGACTTGCCCCAAAGCTCTGTCCGGGTCTGAATTCGGGCGGATTGACTGACTTCCAAAAATTGAAGTATCGCAAGACACGTACATCAGCTGCAACAGCACAAGCTAGGATGCATACCTGACACATGTGTCTACTCACCAGAAGCATTGCTGAAATTGAAGAGACAAAGCAAGCAAATCATCATCGTGCAAATGAATGATAGTCAAGTCAGTGGTTCTAAAGAGCTCAGATCTCAGCTGGCCAAATTGGGAACTTTACTTCGGCCCACCAAGACCAAGGCCTGTTCAGGCCTGCCCGCCTTGGCTTGACCCAGCTGGACCTCACTCCTGCAAGGATCAGCACTGTCTTGCTTGATGGCCGCAGCGTGTCCCACTTTCGGCCGCACGGTGCTCCTTGTCCGGCCCCGCCAAAGCCCAACCAAGCACCTTGCAAAGTCCGTAGAGATTGCCGGCCAAGTTGACAAGTTTGGTTGGTTCCACTGTGAGTGAAGAAGCCCGTGGACCTAGGTGGTGCCACTGTGGCAGGAGATGCGACAGTGCTGAACCGCCTCAAGAAGAACCAGATGCCGCGCATTGTGTCCCTGAAGTCGATATTGTCGGTGTGGCGTCGCAGGCTGGTACGAGCAATGCGCAGCAGGCCGTTCGCATTGCAGGTGTTAGGGGGACATACCCATGAACTCAGGCAAGGAGACAGGTTCGGTTCGAGATCCGGAGAGGCATGGCCAACCTTTTGTCCCAAAAGTGCCCTGCTCGGCGGGGTAATCTTAATGATAATATAGTGCCGTTTATTAATATTCATTTGAGCGCACGTCGTTCTTGTGTTCACCGCGTTCATTCATTTGCAGGCTCATTTTCTTCGTTCACTCATTCACCCTTTATTTGTATTATTATTCCCGCGTGTATTTCTTTGCATTTGTAAATTGAAAGCAATAATATTATTGACACAAGTTCACGCGTGGTTAATATGATTATTGAACGAACGAAACACTACGCTCATTCTCTTTGCGTAGTATTCACGCGGGAAGATGCCCTTGTTCTACCATGCAATAGAACTCCTTCGTAGTACTTCAAATAAGCCTTCGCTGGAATCTTTCATTGAAATCCTGGTCTCGCTTCGCTTGTACTTGTAATTAATCCTGTTGGTACCGTGAGTCTAATTCACTTATCCTTGTCCTTTTGTCGCTTTCTCGTTCATTTTCTTCACTTCCATTGCATTCTTTTCCTTCACTCCTTTTATCCCAAAAGTGCCCTGCTCAAAAGGCGATTTGTGCCCCCCATCGGCCGAAAATGTCGAAGGAAAGTGCCTGAAGGAGGCCGTTCGGGAGACTGTTCTTTTCGTTGTAGGTCATAAAGCGAACACGAAGGCCTCGCTGTCTTTGAAGCGGGCCTGCTTTTTTGACAGGCCAAAGGGTGGGCAACACTTCGCCCGTTTCACACCCGTGTGCGGGACGTCCCGCCTACAAGGGCGTAGTCGCAGTTGTCTTGCCCCAACCCTACCTTTAAGAGGTTTGAAGACGAAGGAGCTTGAGCCAGGGTTCCGTAGTTTGGAAGGACTGGGAATGGGAAGTGGGAAACGACGTTTTGTGGTGTGTGTTATACTGTGGTTTCCGGCATCCGTCAAATGATTTTGCATTCAGTTCACACGTTGCTGCCCGTGGGTCTCATGCTCAGCAATGCTCGTGCTTCGCAGTCCACAATATGTTAAAATGCGGAACTTCGGTGCATTTGAAATGGCTACAAGATGTTGGAGCTGAGCATTGCATGGCCCGTACTGTGCTTCGGACCAGAACGAGCAATGCGGGCTCAGAGCGAACTGTAACCACCTTTCTGTCACTGCAAACACAAAGCGGGGGGGATCAGGTTTGATGCCAGGCTGAAGGTTTAAGCAAACAGACAATCTCGTGAGTGTTCGTTCCTCCACCTTCGTGGCACAAGCAGGGGCTGTTGGAGGGCAGGTGCTTGAGAAAAAGGCCTTGTTCGAATCATGGATGTCCACTCGCTGTGCAATGACGTACAGTGACAAGGTTATGAGTTTGCAAAAGCTCGAGAAAACAAAGCTGAGACGCCACTTTTTTGGGTTTCGTTTGAAAGTACCACGTTTCCATGCATCCCCGATGCCGGAAGGCATCTTTATGGCAAGACTCATGAAGCAGAAAACAAAGGTGGAGGGCCGAACCAGCTTTTCAGGTCCAAGGTCCGTGGCAGTGAACAGTGCGATGCTTGTAAGGATGCCCAGGCCATCGAGGATGCTTGCAAAATAGTCTCTTTGTGGCAGAGACGCGATAAATTTTGTGCACGTGGTATCATGACTGCCATATGTGAGTTGCAAGAGTTGTGGCCGTGTGGTTTCGTTCCCAGCCGAACCGCATGGTACGTGACGCCGCAGAAATGGTGTGGCCAGCATGTGACTCGCACGCTTGTTGTGTGAATAAGCAATGCATTTGGCTTGTGGAAGTGTGCTAGAGTGTGTTTGTCATGTCTTGGTGCATAGGAATTACCCGCAGCGGCAGCTTGTTCACTGCACAAGTCCAGCAAAGCTTGTTCAGCCGTCGAATAGCCTAGGAGGTCGAGCCTTGTAATGTAGATGCGCCGCATTTGGTTGATCTTGCAATGGTGGGTGGTGCGCGGATCATGGGACCGGCATCTAAGGTTTCATGGGTATCGTCACACAACGCTTGCTTTTAGTGTGTACTTGTGTTCTTGCACCAACGTTTTATTGCAGTATGATGGCCAATTACGACAACATCTCAACTTCGGAAGAAATGCCCAAAAAATGTTTGCAACATCCTTCGGCTTGTACAGCATCCTCCTTGCTAGTTTAGGGTTTAGGGTTTAGGGTTTAAGGTTTAGGGTTTAGGGTTTAGGGTTTAGGGTAGCACGGGAATTTGCAGCAGCCGTCCTTTGTCCCGAAGGACTTTCATGGCGAGTTGCCTCATTGGGAAGCGTTGCTTGAACGAACAGAAGGGTTTAGGGTTTAGGGTTTAGGGTTTAGGGTTTAGGGTTTAGGGTTTAGGGTTAAGGGTTAAGGGTTTAGGTTTAGGGTTTAGTTAGGGTTTAGGGTTTAGGGGTCTTGCTGATAGTCAGAGCTGAAGAGGAGGAACTTTGTTTCATGTTACAAGGTGCAGCAAGAATGAGTGTGTTGCATCATCCTGCATTTTCCATGGCTTGTGTTGTTGCCGCGGCGATGATGGGTCGCAACTCTTTGCTTTGTAAGACTGGGCTGAACCGAGGTCATTTCCTGATTTCGATTGCCATGATCCCAGTGGTCATATGGGGGTTTCCGCAATAAGGGGTACCTTCTTGGGGTCCTTATGACAAGGTCCTATTATTTGGGGATCTACATTGGGGGTCCCCTATTTTCGTAAACCCCCGTATGTGGTCGCAAGCGTTAGTGGGCCTCGGTGAATATGTGGCTGCGTGCATTTGCAACCAGAGCCTTGTTTTGCTTAGAGGTGCCGGCCTTGCCAGGCTTTTGTGCTGTTTGAGTTGGTAAAAGTTGTGCAGGAATGCCCCATCCACCTTGGTCTAGGTCTTTTCCTTTTTGTCGCAGGTTGGGAAGACTTTGTGACGAAAGACATCAACATCGATTGGAAGAAGTTTCGGCTGGAGGCAGCAGGGCCTGTGTTTTCATTTCACCTGGCAGTTGGCTGCTGTTCCGAAGGCATGTCGTCAACCCACAAACCTTTAAACCCTAAACACAAACCCCAAAACCCCCAAACCCCCCCAAACCCTAAACCCTAAACCCTAAACCCTAAACCCTAAACCCTAAACCCTAAACCCTAAACCCTAAACCCTAAACCCTAAACCCTAAACCCTAAACCCTAAACCCTAAACCCATCAAAAGACAGGATGGCAGACAGCAGATAGCGGCCCCGCCGACCACCCAACGTGATTCTGCTCGCCTCATCCCAAAAAAGGGGGGGGATTTGAGGCTTTAGGCTTTAGGCTTTAGGCTTTAGGCTTTTAGGCTTTAGGCTTTAGGCTTTAGGCTTTTTGTTTTAGGCTTTAGGGGCTTGACAAAAAGGGAATTTCCAGAAGGGAAGCCCCCCCAAAAGCCTGTGAGGCCGAAGGCGGTAGCTGGGCGTCCTGGCAGCCTCTGGTGCGACGGCTCCTGCCCCGCCTCGACTTTGCTGCGGTGGGGTGCCCGGGCTTCGGTGCAACCCCTAAAGTCCCTAAAAGCCCTAAACTCCCTAAACCCTAAACCCCCTAAACTCCCTAAACTCCCTAAACCCCGAAGGCCCTAAACCCTCAAAGGGTCTATGGTGTATTCCTCGTTAGGCGTCATAGCAGTTTGGGGCATATGATGTGCGTTCAGGTCCCTTACGGCCCTGGCTTGCTGGTGTGCCAGAGTCGAAGATGAAACCCCCCCAAGCCCGAAACCCTAAAGACCCCACACCTCAAATCCTAAACCCTAAGCCCTAAACGCTACACCCTAAACCCTAAGCCCTAAACCCTACACCCTAAACCCTAAGCCCTAAACCCTAAACCCTGCACTTTAAATCCAATCCCAAACCTTCAGCTCATGTGCTGGGTAGGTAACCAACCCCCTTGTGTCCCCCAAGCCCCAAGCCCCAAGCCCCAAGCCCCAAGCCCCAAGCCCCAAACCCCAAACCCCAAACCCCAAAACCTAAACCCTAAACCCCAAGCTCCAAAGCCTAAACCGTAAACCCCAAACCCTAAACCCTAAACCCGAAACCCTAAACCCTAAACCCCCCAAAAAAGGGCCGCCAAGCACTGAGCCCAGGCTCGCGAAGCGCTGCTTGACCAAAGCCTTCCCCGGCGCGACTCCCAGGGGCTTGTGGGGCTTTAAGGTGCCACTTGTTTGAGGGTTTAGGGTTTAGGGTTTAGGGTTTAGGGTTTCTGAAATCCTTTATGATGTTCTTGGAAAGCGTACAAACAATCCTAAACCCCGAACCCTAAGCCCTAAACAACCGGGGTTTGAGTTGTAAAGATAGGACTCATTGCGGTCCTTGTTTAGGCGTGCTGTTCCTGAGTTCGCGGACTGCAGGTGTCGGGGTTTTGGGTGCTAGAAATCAGAAAGCAGCCTTCTCTGTGTCCTTGCGTGCGCGGGTGAAAGACACCTGCCGGGTAGACCCGGCTAGAGGCACGGCATGTTTGTATCGGTGCTCCGATGGACTAGTGGACTTGACCTAACTTGGTTTATCAGTGACAGCTTGATCCTGCTTGATCCCAGACAGTCGATAGCCCCGATGAAGCTTAATTTCGGCATAGCTTGCAGCACAGGGTTCAGGATTTCTAGAAGAATATGGCGACACGAAAGCGCGACACGCACCGAGTGCAAACTTCCAACGTGCTTCAAGGTTTTTTGGGCCTTGGGGCATGTTGAGCGGGACCTTTCCTTCGTCCTTCTCTGGAGGTGCTTCCTGGGCCACTTGTTCGCCGCAACCGTTCGCGTGGCCCTCTGGGGTTAAGAGAGGGAGCTGTAACCTGTGTAGTAACCTGTGTCAACGCTCTCATTCCCAATGGTCCCGGTTCTCTTGCTTGGCTGAGGCTTCGGCGACTGCACTGAGGCTTGTCTGGGGAGGAAGATCCCCCCCGCACCTCCCAGACCCAGTGGGAAAGGGTCTCGACTTAGGGCGTGGGGCTTATGCTCACATCTGCTCGCGCCTTTGAGAGAAGCCTGCCGCAAACCCATCGACATGGCCCCCAAGACACGAAGCCCAATGCAAGCCTGAGCCCTGAGCCCGACACCCTTAAACCCTGGCACTCCCACGCCTGCTGAAAGGACTCTATGAAGCCCCAAGACCCATTCTCCCTTCAGACCATAAGCCTTCCAAAGCCTGCAAACCCTAAAACACGTTCTGAGAACCTGAACGTACCACCTTGCCCCTTCCCCTCCTAATGCAGCTGGGCGGGTTTAAATCCTCAACCCTAAACCTTACAAAACCCGAACCCCGGACCCCAAACCAAGACAGGGAAGCGCGCAATGTCCAGCTGCGGAACTCGAGCTGGTTTCCGAGGCTGGGGTTCAGGTTTTTGGTTTTTTGGGGTTTAGGAAGTTTAGGGTTTAGGGTTCAGGGTTTGGTATCGGACGTCGTGGCTTTGGGGGCCTTTCTCAGGGTTTTGGGGGTTGAGGGCTTTTGCAAGTCGAGCGTTTAGGGTCGGCTTCAGAAGCAGATGTCCAGCAGCAAGTGCCATGATTCGGGGGCTTTTTGGTGGCTTTGTTGGTGGCTTTTTTGGTGGCTTTGAGGTGTCTTGTGGCGAAGTCAGACTGTCAACTGACATGGGGGGGTTGTTCCCGAAGGTCTTTTAAAGAGATGGGCGATTGGGGCAAGAATCCCGTAAAACAGGGGAATCCTTTTGAACAACCGCCAAGATGCGCTCTGCCGTTTGACACCTCCTCTGTAAAGGGTAATGGTGGACACGATGGTAACGAAAAACCCTAATACCCTAGACCCTAAACCCTAAGCCTAAGCCCTAAACCCAAATCGTGAAGCCAAAAGCCCTGGACCCTAAACCCTAGGCACTAAGCCCTAAACCCTAAACCCCGAAAGGGACTTACTGTACTTATAGCCATATCAGGGCACTCAAGGGGCTCATAAGTGGGTTATACGTACAGGTTAGAATTGGTTAGTAACCCTAAACCCCAAAACCCAAAACCCTAAACCCTAAACCCTAAACCCCTAAACCCTAAACCCCATGAACCTCCAAGTGGAGGTCATCCAAGGGACTTTCCGGTCTGTGGCCTTCTCTTTGGAGCTGCTGCTGGGGACACGGTGGCCCGTACTGGCGGCCCTGGATGGCTTGAGGCTCGTGGGGGTTTAGGGTTTAGGGTTTATACAGGGTTTAGGGTTCATATAGGGTTTAGGGTTCAAGGTTTAGGGTTTAGGGTTTAGGGAAGCCTCATCCCGGGACCAGATGCCCCCTTCGACTTGTTTTGAGGTCCTGATGCAAGCTTCCGGAAGCCCTTTGAAGTCGTTTGAAGTCAAAATCCCTGGAACTGGAGTTTGCCCGTTTGCCCATGCCGGTACAGTTGTCCCGCATATTCCGTTTTTTGTTGCAGTTTGTTCCTTAACCCTTAACCCTTAACCCTAATTAAACCCTAAACCCTAAACCCTAAACCCTAAACCCTAAACCCTCAACCCCTCAACCCTCAACCCTGAACCCTGAACCCTAAACCCTCAACCCGAAGCCCTTGCCGGCCAGGATCCCTGAGTTTCAGGACGACCCGGAACTGAATTGCGAGGGCTCCCAGGCGCCGAGCCAAGCTCCCCCCCCAATAATTGGGGGTTTCCGAATTTAGGGTTTAGGGGTTAGGGTCTAGGGTTTAGGGAACCCTTTTTGGGGTTTCCGAAGTACCTTATTGGGCTCCTTTCTATGAGGAAGGGTCTATGATAGGGTCCCTTACTGTCGTAAACCCACCCGATGGAAAAGACGTGGCTCACTTCGAACTTAAATTAAAGCTCTGAAAGCTAAAGCCCCTCCCCAAGAACCAAAGGCGCGACCCAAGAAGACCCTCGTTAGCTGGTCGAAGCTGGCTGCGCCAGGGGACTGTGCTGGACTGGTCGACTTCTGAGTGGTGAGCTGCTGTCGCACGTGCTGGCGCATGTTGATGATCTCCCATCCGATTTCAATATGGTTGTTGTGATTGATTGTCCCATCTTTTTTTCGAGTTCTTAAGTGAGGGGGGGTTCAAGGGGGGGTATGCAACCCAAGGTTCCCTAATACTCCCCACTACCCCCATTAAGGCTCCATCTCGCGCCCAAAAACTCAGAGCGCCCTTGTCCGAGGTCGCGTTTGCGGCAAGCCTTTCAGCCCGAAGTGGATTGGCACGCCCCCCGAGCACACGCTTTCATAGGGAAGGTAAGGGGCTGTCTGCAGGTGAGGTGTGTCTCCATTGCTGAGAGGAATGTCCGAGAGACAAAGCCAACTTTGCAGGTCTCAGTCTCAGAAGTTGTCGACTTTTCCCTAAGCCTTAAGCCCTAAGCCCTAAACCTAAACCCTAAACCCTAAACCCTAAAGCCTAAACCCTAAACCCTAATTAAACCCTAAACCCTTAACCCTAAATTCCAAACCCTAAGCCCTAAACCCTAAACCCTCAACCGTTCTCATATTGATGGCGCCTCCCTCTTTTTGGGTGCCCTAAGTATCAGTGGCTGGCTTATACTTGCGACCACAAGAGGGGCAATAATTTCGATATGTGACCACATACCCTCCATGAAAGGGAAGTGGACCCAATGTTCGGGTAGTGCGGTCCTTCTTTTTCTGAAGCATCCCACAAAGGCTCACAAAGGGACCGTTAGAGAACGGACCCTAAACCCTAAACCCTAAACCCTAAACCCTAAGCCCTAAACCCTAAACCCTAAACCCTAAACCCTAAACCCTAAACCCTAAACCCTGAACCCTAAACCAAGAACCCGTGCCAGCGCGTGAAAGTCTTGGGGTTGGCGAGGTATCACGACGCCAAGTACCTGGTCTACAGTCGAAACTTCCAAGCAAACTGGTTGGCAGGCATGGAGGACGGGCTCTACTCCCCCCTAAAATGAGTTGTAAAGACCCCGTAAACTATAATGCAACTATAATGGGGGGTATTCCATATTATGGGGTGGGGGTGGGGGCGGGGAGGGGGTTGAATATGAGGGAGAGGGGGTTAGTCATGCAACGTTGGGGATTGGAGCAGCTCTTGCGAAGTTTGAAAAGCCGTTGGAAGCCCTAACGCCCAGACGTAAACTTTCTTCTGGCAGGAATGCGCCTACGGTTTTGCCATGGTCTCCCTGTTTAAGCTGGTCATCTGTGCAGAGACGCGGCTGGCCCGCATGCTGAGGGTCGGGGTTTCGGCATGCCGGGGTTTTGGGCTGCTTGGCACGAGGCCACGTTGCCTGTCCTGTCTCTTGTGTTTGGTACCGCCAGATGTTATCAGAATCTCCAGCTGTACTTGTATGCCTTTACTGCGATGGCAGTTTCATTTCTTGCTGGAGAGCTGCTTTTCTTGAAGGCCACTGTTTGCTCTTATGACCCAGCCACATCCTACTCGCAGCGCCTGGTGAGAGATTGTGCGGGGCTCTTCCCTACATGTCCATCTGGCGACATTGCTGCTACTTACACTTTGTTATTATTTAAGGACTATAGTATTTTTCAGGGGTATGTCAAGGGTACCCCTTATTTTGGGCAGCACCCATATGATGTTCTCGGACATCACGGACTTCATGGTCATTGCGACTCACCAACTTCCTTCGTTGCAAAGAAAAGTTCAGACTACTTCTCTGTAGCTTCTCAAGTCAACCAAGTATGTGTTTCGGCTCTTGATTTCCTTCGCAGCTCTTGTCGCAACATGGTTGCTGCCATATTGCCATATTGTACTTACGCGGTGCTCTTCCCCTATGTTCTTGTGTGAGGAACGTGGTTGCTCCTTTCTTCACAGTGCGGAGATGGCGGTTTTTGGTTTCGAGCATGTGAGATCTGGTTGGTCTGTGATTGTGTTTCGGAACGTTTGTGGAGGCTGGCCCTTGAATGCAGTGAAACTGGTATTCGAATCGGGTTCGGAGTCATTGCCTGGCGCATGAGGCTTTCGAATATTGAGGCCCGTGGCTTCGAGTTGTAGAGGATCTGCTTGCAGAAGATTCGCTCCTCCGCCGAAACGGGAGCATGACAGGGCCCTGACCAAAGCTGCCTTAGTCGCAAAGCTTTCCGGCCTGAGGCAGGCAGAGTGCGTCAGCCAGTACGCAGTGATCATCGACAGCCTCTTTCGAGCGCAGTCCTCGGAATCCCCGCCGGGGTGGAACGGTCCGGGATGTCGGGGTTTCCGTTGTTGCCTCAGGACTTCAGCCCTAACCCCCCCCCCCCCGAAACTTCAAGGCTTGACCCTATCTTAACATGTATTATATGTATATATATATGTATTCATATATTTATATATTTATGTTTATATTTATATTCATATTGAAATTAATTTCGATCTTTATATTTATATTTATGTGAATATGTATATGTATATATTTTCATATGGTCCTCATCCCTCGGCTCTTTTCAGCTGCCCAGGAGCGTGACTGGCGCGAGGTGGCGGGCAATTCCTGGCATCTGTGCGGCCCCCAGTTGGAGGGTTTAGGGGTTTAGGGTTTAGGGTTAAGGGTTCCGGGTTTCGGGTTTAGGGTTTATGGGTTCCGGGTTGAGTGTGTAAGGTTTTCCAGGGTTCGGGGGGTGGAGTTTCTTGAATAAGGATTCTTCGATTGTGGGGAAAATCCTTAGCGCCCTCAAGCACCCCAAAGCCCTAACTCCTAAACCTCAAACTCTCACCCCTTAGCCGCGAAACCCGAAGCCTGAAGCCCTAAGCCTTAAACCCCAAGCCCTGAAGCTAAAGGCCTTGATGAGCCTCTTTGCTTCTGGGTTTCTCGGTGAACCCTGAACCCTGAGCCCTTAAACCCTAAACCCCAAACCCTAAACTTAAACCCTAAACCCAAGCCCTAAACCCAAAACCCAAAACCCTAAACCCTGAACCCTCAACCCTAAACCCTAAACCCAAAAGCCTTAAACCCGAAACCCCTCAAGCTCTACGACAAAGCACAGGGTCGTTCGCAGCCAGACCCTACACCCCAAAGCCCAAACCCCAAGCCCCAGATCCCAAACCCGAAAACCCTAAACCTTAAACCCTAAACCCTTTAGATCCCGAAGAAGGTTCGGCTTCCTGGACCGCGTGCGCGCCGCCTTGAAGCGCCACGAGTTCCGCCTGGACTTCGCCCCCGCGGAGCTACGAGGACCGTAGGCTTAGGGTTTAGGGTTTAGGGTTTAGGGTTTAGGGTTTAGGGTTTAGGGTTTAGGGGTTGGGCCAGGTGTCTCGGGCTTCGGGTGATTCTTTCTCAGAATGTCTCAGCTGAAGCCAAGCCCTAGGAACCCTAAACCCCTTAGGCTCCTAAACCCCTAACCCCCAAAACCCTAAACTCTGAACTCTAAACCCTAAACCCTAAACCCTAAACCCTAAACCCTAAACCCCAAACCCTAACCCTGAACCCTAAAGGCCCTCCAGAGCAGCTTGGGCGGAGGACGCCTTCCTCCCCTGGAACTTCTCTTGGCCGGCGAGTCGCCCCCGGAGGAGTTCCAGGGCCCGGGACACAGGGTTTAGGGTTTAGGGTTTAGGGTTTAGGGTGGTGAAGGGTTTAGGTTTAGGGTGGTGAAGGGTTTAGGGTTTGGGGTTTGGGCTTTAGGGCAACCATGTTCCCCAGAAGCAGGGCTTCGGGCTTGGCGTTTCGGGTTTCGGGTTCGGTCTTCGGTCGGAGGTTCATCCATTGATTGTTGGTTGCAAGCTTATCCTGTGGATTTCCGAGAATAGGGGTGCCCCGTACATACACCCCAAAATACAATAGAATCCTGTTTCCAGGCTTCCCAAAAAGGGTACTCCTATTTTCGGAAACCCCGATCTGAGCATGCCAAGAAGCCTGCTTTCGAAATTGAGCGTTTAAAAGCGCAAGTTCCCAAACCCCAGGCAACGAGCGTGAACCTGGGTTCCCCAACGCCCCAGAGTTAGGGAAGAAACCTTCAAAACGCAATAGGGGTTTCAATGTGCCTTATCCTAAACCCTAAACCCTAAACCCTAAACCGTAAACCCTAAACCCTAAACCCTAAACCCTAAACCCTAAACCCTAAACCCTAAACCCTAAACCCTAAACCCTAAACCGACGAAGTATGTTGGTATTTGGGGCTCTCTCGCTTTAGGTGCGAAGCTGTCGCCGTCATTTGTGGGCGTGGTGGCATCCGTCCTGGCCAGCCGCGGTGGGACGTAAGGTTCAGGGTCTCAGGTTTAGCGCTTTTTAGTGATCCCAGGGCAACTCAGAGAATTCAGGGTCAGGAGAACTGCCGACTAAATGGCGAGAACCCTGAACCCGAACCTTACAAGCCCTGAAACGAAACTCTCGAAAGGCTAACTGTGCAAAGTGTCAATGCGCTAAGCCCCAAAAACCAAAACTCGAAGTACCCGAACACCTGAACCATGAGAGCTCCAAAAACTCAAAAACTCTGGTCCCTAAATCCCTAGAGCTGACAAACTTAGTGTCCCTCAACCCGAAACCCTTCAAGCAGCAAGGCCCACGGGGGGCGATTTGAAACAACTGCAGGTAAAGCAGTCCTTGAGATACAGCGAGTGCCAAAACAGTCGCAAGTGTGAAGAATCGGCCATTACAAGCGAGAGCATGAACCAAGCCAACAGCGAACAACCTCAACCCTAAACCCCGAACCCTAAACCCCGAACCCTAAACCCTAACCCCGAAACAAAAAACCCTAAACCCTAACCCTAAACGCTAAACCCAAAGCCCTACATCTCGAATCAAGCCACCAGTGCAGTTGCAACCAAAAGAGTTCTCCTCCCCACAGTTCGTGCTGAAGCCACCTCACCTTTGCAAGCAGGCGGGAATTCCCAAGACTTACATGACCACCTCGCAGGACTCGGACAGGCTTAAGGGTTGTTTCGGGTTTAGGGTTTAGGGTTTCGGGTTTCGGGTTTAGGATTTAGGGTTTGGGTTTAGGGGTTTAAGAAAGGCTTGGGGTTGAGGGGAAGGTTGAGGAATGACTGGGGTTCAGATTCCTCAGGGTTTAGGGTTTAGGGTGTAGGGTTTATGGTGTCCCCGACCTTCATCCCCGTTCGAAAAGCTTCATACAAGTCCTACAGAACTTGGGTCCCTAACCCCAAACCTAAACAAAAACCCTAAACCCTAAACCCTAAACTCTAAACCCCAAACCGCAAACCCGCCCTCGCACACTTGGGGCTTGGGGTTTCGGGTGTTTGCGGTTTAGGGCGTGCCAAACAGAAGCGCGGTTTTGTGAGCGTGCATGAGTCTGCAGACCAACCCACCCCAAGACCGCCCACATACAACTCTCATGGAGTTAAGGGCTTCTTAGATGTCTTTTACAAAGCAGCATGTACTCATGAACGGGCTTAAACGAAATTGATATGAAGCTCTTCACTGAAGCCAAGCATGAGTTGTGTCACATGGTTCGCTTGGAGATTACCCTTGCAATGCTCCAAGTTGCCCTCGGCATCCTACAACTTGTGCAATGCAATGTGTACAGTGTACAGTGTACAGTGTACAGTGTACAGTACTACCTTCTCTCCCACTCTGTTCTCCTCTTTCCTTCTCCTCTTGTCTTGAGCATGTTTCACTGGCGTAGCTCTGAGTTCTTTTTGGTCATTCGTAACGTTCTCTGGATGCAATGTACATACTTCTTTGTGTACATGTATGCGTTTTACGCCGGGTCACTCCGCCAATGTGTGGTCGCTAAGCTTGGTATCTCTTGCTGCGTCGGAAAGAAAGAAGGTTCGCTTGGAGCATGGGCCGCAGGGCCTCCACGACCCGCCCAGGGCTTCTCAGGGGCCTCCCACGAATCCCTGCCGATTTTCCGGCGGCCCTTCTCAGGCAGGGGCCTAGGGTTTAGGGTTTAGGGTTTAGGGTTTAGGGTGGTTTAGGGTGGTTTAGGGTTTAGGGTTTAGGGTTTGGGGTTTGGGGTTTAGGGTTTAGGGTTTAGGGCTGTACTGCGACAGGGGCATGTGGGGGCCAAGCACTGTTGGTCACTTGGTCCCTCCTCCGGCCACCTCGTCACGGGGTCACTTGAGACACCTGGAGGACTTGGAAAATACCGGCACCGCACAGCGCTCCAGCTCAGTCCCAGGGCCTCTCACGAAACGCGGACATGTGGACTTGGTCACTTGGGGCAAGCATTACTCTTCACTCCCTTAAGCCCTAAACCCTTAATCCCTGAAACCCTTAAACCCTAAACCCTAAACCTTAAACCCTAAACCCTAAACCCTAAACCCTGAATTTGATCCAATGAAAACTGCTGATTCGGCCTGTGCCTTGCCTGGAGGGTAAGCCAGCCCGGAGGCTGGCTCGGCTGGGGCTCCCTCGCAAGGTCTCACGCAGCCCTCGACCAGCGCCGACCCCAAAAAGAGAAGTGAGTGGGGTGGCGGGCGGGTTTGCGGTTTAGGGTTTAGGGGTTTAGGGTTTACCATTTAGGGCTTAGGGTTTAGGGTTAGGGTGTATCGTTTAGGTTTAGGGTTTAGGGTTTAGGGTTTAGGGTTAAGTGAGTGGGGTGGCAAGAAGTGCCTGCGGAGGACTCCGCGGGCCTGGAGGCGCGGGTTGCAGAGCCGGCGGTCTGCAGCTCTAAACCCCAAGCCCCAAACCCCAAACCCTGAAACCCCAAACCCTGAAACCCTAAACCCTCAACCCTCAACCCTCAACCCTCAACCCTCAACCCTCAACCCTCAACCCTAAACCCTAAACCCTCAACCCTAAACCCTAAACCCCAAACCCTAAAAACCCCAAACCCTACACAGGAAACCTTTTACCCCGAAGGGTTGCAGGTGTCAGAGGTTGAGAAGGCTTCGGGCTTCAGGGCTTTCGGGTTTGCAGGACTTTAGGGTTTCGGGTTTAGGGTTTAGGGTATAGGGTCTTGGAGTGGGCCACGTTTTTGCTTTTGAGCCTGTTAGGTCCCACAGGCCAGCGCCTCTTACCCAGAGACTGCACTTGCCCTTCATTCCCTTCATTGGGGAATGTCCCTTGGAGTCTCTTCCTATGCGCAAGCCGCACTTTCCATATGCCAGATTCCAGTCAAAGTCCCAAAGCCTTCGCTGAAAATGTTGCTGTTGAAGAGCGGCACTGCCATTGGGTCCATCCTAAAGTGCACCAGCACCACCCTAAACCTGTCAACCCCAAACCCTAAATCCTGAATCCATCAACCCCTCAACCCTAAACCCTAACCTTAAACCCTAAACCCTAAATCCTAAACTCTAAAACCTTAAACCCTAAACCCTAAACCAAAAACCCTGACCTCCCAAGCCCCTTAAAGGCTCAGGCAAGCCACCAAGAGCGCGCAAAACACTGCACTTAGGAACATACCTTCATCATTTTATATTATAGCACCCCCTTTTGAAGCTTGCGGGCTCTTGGTTCCTAAACCCTAAACCCTAAACCCTAAACCCTAAACCCTAAACCCTAAACCCTAAACCCTAAACCCTGGACCCTGGACCCTAAACCCTAATCAAGGGGAACTCGCGCTTGTTGGGTAGCTCGCAGAACCTGCAGCAAACTAGGGGCGACCGCAAGGCCGTTCACTGGGTCTGGTCCGTGGAACATGGTCACCCCATCTTCGTACCCAGAGAACCCAAATTTAGGGTTTAGGGTTTAGGGTTTAGGGTTTAGGGTTTAGGGTTTAGGGTATGTTTACAGGATCCCAATTATAAATTACAGCATAATCCCACTTTTGGGGTCTTGGGCTCTCTGGGAAGCGGCCGTCACATCGCGCAGATCAGAGTGCACCCTTAGCATCGTGACCCCCAAATCCAAGCCCCTAGAAGCCGTAAAGCCTGGAGACCCTTAAACCCCTAACCCCTAAACCCGAAACCCTAAACCCTAAACCCGAAACCCTAAACCCTAAACCTTAAACCCTAAACCCTAAACCCTAAACCCTAAACCTAAACCCTAAACCCTAAACCCTAAACCCTAAACCCCGAAAGAACCCGAAAAGGAGCTCTCCAAGCTGCAGGCCCGGCGCTTCCTCTACGTGACCATGGTGTTCGGTCCACAGTCCGACCCCCCATTTGGGATGGAGGCTAAGAGGCTACGTAGGGTTTAGGGTTTAGGGTTTAGGGTTTAGGGTTTAGGGTTTAGGGTTTAGGGTTTAGGGTTTAGGGCTGAAAGTTGAAAGAGCTGTTGTAGGTACTGAGGGATGTGTGTCTGGGTTCTCGCGCGGCTCAGCAACGAGCAAAAGACTCAGGAAACCAGGATTCAGACAACTCCGGCGATTCGGAAAGCCGCGGCTCTGCCAACTAGGCGAGGCAAGAACTTGTGCGAATCCGGAAACCTCAACCCTAAACCCTAAACCCCTAAACCGTAAACCCGAAACCCTAAACCCGCACAACTCAAGAAGCTTTGATTCTGGATCCGCGGGATCCAGGAAGCTGCCTGATTCAGGAAACCCGCACGATTCTGGAAATTGCTGGAATCAGGGAAGGGATTCGATGGCGGAAAGCTGCCCGATTCAGGAAGCTGCTCGATTCAGGAAACCGCCCTATTCAGGACTCCAGATGTGGAAAAGGGGGGGCAGGGAGTGGGGGGGATCATGTCCCAAGTACAATGGCTTGACTGGTAGCATGGCGTGACTTCCAGGTCATTTTGGTCGACTTCGGTAGGCTTGTCGGTTCCTTGACTGATACGACCCGGAGGGGTCAACGTTCTCCGAAGCCAATTCTCACAGATGCGCTCTGAATCTGCGATTTTTTCAGCTTCCCGAAGCTGCACTCTCCGAATCGACACTTTTTGCAGTTTCGCGCCCGCGTTTCACGAGTGTTTCTCGAAGCTGCGCTCTTCGGTCCCCCGAATCCGCGTTTTCCGGCTTCTTCTCGAATCGCGTTATTTCTCTCCAGTTGCGGAATCTGTGCGTCTTCAGCTTCCGAACCCGCGACCATATGTACATATGTATGTATGTATGTATGTATGTATGTATGTATGTATGTATGTATGTATGTATGTATGTATGTATTCATTCATGCATATGTGTATATATATATACAATATACATATATATATATAGATATATACAGATCAACATGCCCATATCATCTTATATATATATGTGTATATACATATATATATATATATCCACATTGAAAGGCCAACCAGTTGCAACCACAGCTCCCTTAAACCCTAAACCCTAAACCCTAAACCCTAAACCCTAAACCCTAAACCCTAACCCTAAACCCTAAACCCTAAACCCTAAACGCTAAACCCTAAACCCTAAACCCTAAACCCTAAACCCCAAACCCGAGACCCTAAACCCTAAACCCTGAACCCGAGACCCTAAACCGTAAACCCTAAACCCTATACCGTTATCCCCATGTTGCGGGGCCCCGTTTTGACAAAGACGCCTGTTGAAGCCCGCCCGAGGTACGTTCCCTACATTCCACGCTTCGTGTCGCGAGCCGAAGCTTTGGGTTGCGCACTCAGAGCTTCTGAGTGCAGAGGGCGGAAGAGAGGGGAGCCCCAGTTCTTAGCTTAAGAAGTGCGTGCGCAGATTGCCAGTGAGGCAGGGTTTAGGGTTTAGGGTTTAGGGTTTAGGGTTTAGGGTTTAGGGTTTAGGGTTTAGGGTTATATCTGACACCGGGGCATGCATCGATGCTTGCGGATCAGGCATCTCAAACCTCGTCCTCTTCTGCCTGGACGAGGAGGCGCTGTATAGATGCCGCGAGCTGCCTGGGCCAGAGGAGAGGTGCCAGGGGAGGGTTGAGGGTTTAGGGTTTAGGGTTTAGGGTTTAGGGTTTAGGGTTTAGGGTTTAGGGTTTAGGGTTTAGGGTTTAGGGTTTAGGGTTTAGGGTTTACAATGGGCTACATGAATCTTCATGGTGATTCGGTAGCCGCACTCTTGCTCTTTCCCTTTTTTGGCAAGTCGTACTTTTTTGGAGAAGGTTCCTGAACCCTAAACCCTAAAAGCCCAAAACCCAAAACCCAAAACCCAAAACCCTAAACCCTAAACCCTAAACCCTAAAACGAAACCCTAAACCCTAAACCCTAAACCCTAAACCCGAAACCCTAAACCCGAAACCCGAAACCCTAAACCCTAAACCCTAAACCCTAAACCCTAAACCCTAAACCCTAAACCCCAACGGCATGGCCTTGGTGGTGAGAGGTGCATCTCCGGCACGCCCTCCATCCTCAACAAGTTCACGCTGCGGGGTCCCGAGATCGCCCCCAGCAGATCTGGCACCCATAAAAGGTTTAGGGTTTAGGGTTTAGGGTTTAGGGTTTAGGGTTTAGGGTTTACGGTTTAGGGTTTAGGGTTTAGGGTTTCTCTAGGAGCATGCTGGTGAGAGACGGCGCTTCGTTCGCGTTTCGTTGCTCGAAGATCCGGTACTACTTTTCCCATTCATACCGCCTATGGCCAAGCGAGCGTGGCTCTCATGGCTCTCATGTCTCTCATGGCTGGTGGCTTGTAAGGCCCAGGAAATCGAGGGACTCTGTGGAGGTGCTACAGGTGCTCGGAGCAGGAGCCTGGCGCAGCTTTGGGTCCGCGGAGCTGCGTCAGCTGACTTCGGCCCCTGCGGGGACTCTGCTGGCGCGGCCCTGAGAACGGTGACGCTGCTCGTCCACTGCCGCCAGACGCGAGAGATCTGCGAGCTCCGGCGCCCTCTGATCCTCTCCTACGTGCCCTTCTTCAAGGAGGTTCGGTGGCTGCTGTCTTGGCCCAATTCCACTGAAGAACTGCGTGCAAAGGAACACCTCTGCGAGAAGCAGGGGGATCCCTACCTCTGCGTCACGAAGGTCGCAGCAGTGGTGGAGGCCGTTGGGGGCTCGTCGGGCATCCTGTACATGCACTTTGACGCCGTGCTGGCGCCCTGCTCCTTCGCGCGGCGCTTCGACCCCGGGAAGATTGGCACCTTCGGCTCCCGGGCCCAGCTTCGCTGGGGCACCTTCGCCTCCCTAGACCGCTGCAACGCGCCCAACGCGTCGCACGTGGGCTGCGCGTGGCAGGCGTGGCATCTCTGGGACGTGAACCGCGAGCCGTTGGCGGGTGCCCTCTCGGAGATGCGGCTCGAGCTGCCGCTTCCGGCGCAGCTGTCCCAGGGCTGCTGGCTGGGATACGATGACTTCTTCTACCTCCCGCGCGGGGCGTTTCGCACGTACGGGGCCCTGGCGGAGGTCTTCGCGCGCCACAACATACACCACGAGATCGCGGGGCCAACTGCCTTGGCCGTGACCCAAAACATAAGTGGCCTGGAGATGCAGGACTTCGCTTGCAAGCTTGGGGTTCTGAAGCCTCTCCCACTCGAGGAGGTGACCGCGCCCGACTTCGCGTGCGGCCATGAGGTGCACTACCAGGAGACGGGCATGGTGGAGGCTGTAGATGCCCTGATCAAGGGCAGCAGAAGCCTGTCTCTCCTCCAAGGACTCAGAGCAACCGAAGACGGAGGAGGAGAAGGGAAAGGAGGCATGGCTGGCATGCGCGTGTCTGGCTTGGACTGGGGCATCTTCGGGGAGCTGCCTGCCCTTTGCGCCTTCCTTCTGGCCGGCGTCGGCTTCGTTTACCTGCGTCCGGATGTCACAAGCGATCACAACCGGACCCTGTTCTCCTACTTCGTCTGCACCCTCTATGTTCTGATCTCGGTCGTCATCGACCTGTCCATGGCTGTTCAGTCTACGCACGCACCGCCGAACGAGAACTACAGCTTCGAGCCCATGTGCGCAGTGCTTCTGACGGAGCTCCTTAAGCTCGTGATCTCCACCTGCCTGATCCTCCACGACCGCGCAAGGCGCGGAACTCCGGTGGCCCATCTTCCGAGCGCCGGAGATGTCGCGTGGCTCGCGCTGCCTGCCCTGATCTTCACCTTGAACAACATCTTAGTTTGGTGGGCCATCGGGAACAACGACATCTCCACCTTTGGGGTCTTCCGGGACAGCATGATCCTTTGGACGGCCTTCCTGTGGCGCATCACCTTCGGACTTCCCCTGGGGAATGTGCGCCTTCTGGCCATTCTGGTGATGGTGCTTGGCCTGGCCCTAAACCAAGTGGAAAACTTGCTCAGGAGCCGCCTCTCCTGGCCCCTTGTGCTCGTGCTGCTGATGACGGCCTGCAATGCGTTCGGCTCCGTGCTCAATGAGTTCGCGCTGAAGCGCAAGGTTGGCATGGACATCAACATCCAGAACGCGGTGCTCTACGCGGCGACGGTGCTGTTCACCGGGGCCATGATCATGATTTCGGGAAGAGGCGCGCAGCTCAATCAGTCTGGCTTCTTCCATGGCTTCACCCGACACACCATGTTCACCGTGACTATGCAGGCCCTTGCGGGTCTCACGGTCTCCAGGATACTCAAATATTCGGATGCTGTGCAAAAGAACATCGCCGCGTGCCTACGAGGCCCAATTCTGGTGGTGGTCTCACCAGCTTTTGTCCAGTCCTCTGCAAATGGGCTCACACTTGTCTCTGCCGCGATCGTGGCCACGGGCTGCGGCATCTACTTGAACCAAGGACCTCTCACGCCCATTTCTACGAAGGCCGGGAGCAACAATGTGTCCGGTTGAGTGCTTAGCAAGAAGCGGTGTGCTGGTAACGTGGCCACAGCGGCAAAAGGCCGGCGTCGGCAGATTCAGAAGATCAGCCTTGCTGTGAAGATTTTGGAGTCCCTTCTCTGTGGGCATACCCGAAGCCCGAGCATGCTGGCCATTTGGGATGTTCCCCCTTTTTTACTAACAGGTCCTTAGTAGGCACCCTGGTACCCCCCACTATGGTCCCTATGAAGGAGCTGCTTGTGCAAGGGGGGAACATCCCAAGTGGCCATGTTGGCGGGTTTTAGGGGGTTCAGGTCATGGTGGCTGAGCATGGCCGACCTGCTCATCACGGAGTAGCAGTCTGTAGGAATCCGAACCCTGCCCAACAGGCAAGGCCCTCCGCCCCTCCACCCCTCCACCCTCCACCCTCCTAGTCACTGTTCTTATCCCAAGAAGCCCCACTACATGCGGAGCTCATGCCCCAGGCCCCTGGTGTACCTCTGGCTCGGCGTGGACGTCTTCTGGCCTGCGGCTTGCGTTCGACTTCTGGGTTTAGGGTTTAGGGTTTAGGGTTTAGGGTTTAGGGTTCCCTGGGATGTTCTCCCCCGAAAGTAACAGTCCTTAATCGGGATTACAGTACCCCCATTATCATCAGTATTTTAAGGACTGTTAGTATAAGGGAACATCGCAAGTGGTTCCCCTTTTGAGGGGAATTCTGCTCCGATTCTATGGGGGCAGTAGAAGGGGGAACCCTAACCCTAAACCCTAAACCCTAAACCCTAAACCCTAAACCCTAAACCCTAAACCCTACACCCTACACCCTACCCACCCTAAACACCCTAAACCCTAAACCCTAAACCCTAAACCCTAAACCCTAAACCCTAAACCCTAAACCCTAAGACCCTAAACCCTAAACCCTAAACCCTAAACCCTAAACCCTAAACCCTAAACCCTAAACCCTACCCTTCAGCTGCCAAGGCTGGACTTCGACGTCTTCCTGCTCAGAGATCCCACGCGTGCGGTTCTGGGTGAGTCTCAGCGAAGGCAGGCGGTTTAGGGTTTAGGGTTTAGGGTTTAGGGTTTAGGGTTTAGGGTTTAGGGTCTAGGGTCTAGGGTTTGGGGTTTTTAGGGATTAGGGTTTGGGATTTAGGGTTTTTAGGGACGAGGGTTTCGGGCTTAAGGTTTCTTGGGTTTAGGGTTTCGGGTCGTGGTTGACTTAGAACTACCAACAAGTGTTGAAAGGATGTAAGGAGCGGATATAAGGAGCGGTCGTATAGGTCCCACATTGCTTCCGATTGGTGTTTCAGCTGGTTTTAGATGGATCCCAAACCAAAGCGCAAACATCCAAACAGGTGCCGATGCAATGACGCTACATGAAAGAGACGGTTTTTGTTGCATGCATGTCGGGCAAAATGGTCCATTTTCCACGCATGTGTTTTTTTTATGCCCCCCAGGAAGAGATATATATATATATATATATATAGATATACATGCATGTGTGCATGCATACACATATATAAATAAACATGTACATATACACACACATATACATATATATACATATATACATATATACAGATACAAAACCACACATGTCTGTATGCCAGGGAGGGGGGGGGGGGGGGGCAGGGCGGACAAAAAACTCAGCCGGAGCCATTTCCGCCGCCCTCAGGCCAAGCCCCATGCAGCAGTGCCCGAAGCCATGGGACATATTAACAGCATGGCTGGAAACAAGAAACATGCACGCACATTAAGACTTATATTCCAACACCTTTGGTTCATGCATGTGTATATTGGGCGCCAGATGGCCTGGAGCTCAGAATATATCTTCTCGGTGCCAGGTATATATAACAGTTCAGATGAATGATCCTCCCAGGTGCCGTGGCCAGCTCGTAGCCTCAGATGGCAGGTGCGCCCAGACCCCCACTGTGTGCATGCATGTAAATACAATATACATGTATAAAGAAATTATACATACATATAGATTCGGGCAGCTGAATGTGCATGATTTATTTGGCTCAATCATGCGTCAGGTCCAGCTTTGAAATTGACATGAGCTGCCATTCAAGAAGCATGCACTTACACGCATGATATCTTTGTTTGAACCAGTGCTGGACCATGAAGCCAAAATGCCGTCGCCTGCAGCAGCAGCAGAAGAGGCGGCAAAATTCGGAATTAGTTTTTGCATATCTGCACAAATATTTCAGCAATCCTGAGCAAGACCATCTGGACCGAGCTGCCCGTACTGGCGAGCTCTTTCCCAGAGGAAATTTAAAGAAGGCAGGCTTGAGACATCTCATGTGCTTTGCTGCCTCCAATGCATGTTCAGGTCGATTTTTTACGCAGCGTTTGTGTCGTGTTATAATTAAAAAGTTGCTTTCGGCTTTTGACTTGCACCCTGCCAATGATCCGAAGGAATCCAGGCCGGTATATATAACCAGGCAGGCCAAGCGCTTGCAACTGTTGTGTTGCAGGGCCAAGCGTGCACGTAGCTCAGTGCCTGAGAGTAGCATGGACGCTCTGGAAACGCAAGTCATGGAACCTGGCGTTGCTGATGCCATTGCTGTTCCTAAACTGCATTTATATGTACAAGGGGTCTTATCATGCATGTAAGTGTGCAAGGTTCACACATCGATCCCCACAGCATGCATGTGTGCGTGAGGAAGAGATGATCCGGAAGTCCAAGGACATTTCGCTGGCGCAGGAAATTTGCACGGCTCATTTCGTTTATATATGTATATATATATATATATGTATAAATTGTATAATTTGCCAGGAACCCGAGACTCCTGAATCTCAGCTCTCTGGGCATGGCTTCAACAGCAAGGAGTCATGGTTGAAGGCTGTGTACTCTTCACAACATTTATCACCACGCATGCATGCATGCATGCATGGATACACGCATGCATTGAGGCTCCGACCATGGTTCTTGGTGAGGCGCCACTTGTGTCGTAGAATTCCTCGCAGAGACATGCACGTGTGTGCAAGGACTCCGAATCCGATATGCTCTTGTGGAGCCATGCTGACTGGAAGAAGTACTTGCTGGATCCTGCTTGCTTGTATCGGATTGTGTTGGGTGTACCCACTTCAACTATAACTCCCCCCCCCCCCCCCCCCGGACCTTAAAAAACAAATTAATGCATGGATCAGGACGGCCAGCTCACCGAAGACGAAGCAGATTGGTGGCTGCTATGGCAGGACCGATGACCGTGCGTTTGGTACTTCCATAGTGAGCACCCTCAGGTGTAAAAACGTTATGCTAATCTATTTTTCCCAGGATCTTGGGCGGCCAAAGAGCTGGGACGAATGGGCGACGGCTACAGTGCGAAACGTCAGCCTCGCATCCATATAATAGATATATATATATATATGTCAATTCTATATGCATGCATGAATGCATGCATTATATTTTTCAGCACGTGCGCTCACACGGCAGGTCCGTGATGATTCCTGGCTGTGGGCAGCGTGGCTTTTATTATTAATGAAATATACATGCATGAGCCACAGAGAGAGAGAGAGAGAGAGAGAGAGAGAGAGAGAGAGAGAGAGAGACAGAGAGAGAGAGAGAGAGAGAGAGAAACTATAGAAAAGAGAGAGTGAGAGAGAGATATGTAGAGAGAAAGAAAGAGCGAGAGAGAAAGAGACAGAGCGAGAGAGGGAGAGAGAGAGAGAGAGAGAGAGAGAGAGAGAGAGAGAGAGAGAGAGAGATCCTCGAGGGGAGAGATCAGAAGACAAAGCGCGTTCAAGGACTGGAGTTGGCAATCCGACTCGGACGCTGACGCGTGGTCTTGCTTCGAGGTCGACAATACAGAGAGAGAGAGAGAGAGAGAGAGAGATACATATATGTCTACATATATATATATATAGATATACCCTTTTCACCCTTAACCCCAGCTGACCCTCAACTTGCCCTCAACCCTTAACCCTCAACCTTATAAAACCCTATAAACCCTATAAACCCTCAACCCCCAAAAAAACTCAAAACATTTGCGTGTAGTATCTACATAGGAGCCGGCCGCCAATGCTGCTGCAGCCGGCCGGCGTCTGTCGTTGTCTTCAGAGTCTGGACGCAAGGTTTCATCAGCTGTGTGCGTGCATACATAAAAAATCCAATTACCTATAGATTTAGTTTTTTTGTATTTCGTCCATTCTGCGGAGGCAGAAGAGACGTCGTCATGCACGAAAAGCCAAGGCGAACCCCAGATATCGATCAGCATGCATTGTATATTATACGATCTCGAGGTCAGGATGCGCATGGTCTCTCTGCATCCCCCGCTGCGAATCTTAAGGCCTGAATTGCAGTTTCAAAGTGCTATTCATATATACATACATATATATATATGCATATATATATATAATACATCGATCTGCTAGATGTCACGCAGGTCACCTGGGCTGAGCCTGTGGCACGGCAACTGCAGCAGCCTCATATATTGTATTCTATATATCATGTATAAACCCTAAACCCTCAGCCTGCTTACTGCACGCATGCTCCAGGTTTCCGGACACCGATGTCATGAAAATGGACAAGCCACTTCAACCCATGGCGCAGCAGCAGGTAAAGCTAGCGAAGAAAGCTGCTGCCCAGGCATGCGCTAAGATAAGAGAGTCGACATGCAGAGAGATCGAGAGACAGAGTCGACAGCATGCATAGACGCATACATGCATAGGAGAAAAAGCACAAGCCGGTAGAGGCGAAAGGAGCCGCGAAGAAAAAGACAGAGAAGCCCAAGAAGGCCATTTGTTTGTGCGTGCGTGCAGATCCAGTAATTTCGCAGAATAGAATACACGCATGCGCTGTCTATATAGATCCGTGCATGTGCCACAGGCTGCAAAGAGCTCGAACTGCAAAAAGGTGGAATGCTCACCACGTGTGGTAATATTGTATTACATATTATATACACATTTAACATGCATCTTCGCCAGGAGAAAGCAAAAGCTGGCAAGCCAACGCCCAAAGAGAGGAAGAACAGCGCCTATGGGGAGGCCAAAAAGATCTTCGAGCAGAAGCCCCTAGCATGCATGCGTATAGA